CCCCCAGAACTCCATTCCCGGGCCACATTCTGAATGCCTGGAGCCAATTGTAGGCCACTTCGTGGTCTTCGAGTTCCCAGAACTCCATTCCCGGACCACATTTTGAATGCCCGGAGCCAACTTCAGGCCACTTCGTGCTCTTTGAGTTCCCAGAACTCCATTCCCGGGCCACATTTTGAATGCCCGGAGCCAACTGTAGGCCACTTCGTTGTCTTCGGGTTCCCAGAACTCCATTCCTGGGCATGATTTTGAATGCCCGGAGCCAACTGTAGGCCACTTCGTGTTATTCGAGTTCCCAGAACTCCATTCCCAGGCCACATTTTGAATGCTGAGGCAGGCTGATGCTGAGGCTGAGGCAGGCTGAGGCCGAGGCAGGCTGAGGCCGAGGCTGAAGGCAGACTGAGGCTGAGGCTGAAGCAGGCTGAGGCTGAGGCAGGCTGAGGCTGAGGCTGAGGCAGGCTGATGCTGAGGCTGGCTGAGGCTGAGGCTGAGGCTGATGCAGGCTGAGGCTGAGGCACGCTGAGGATGAGGCCGAGGCTGAAGGCAGACTGAGGCTGAGGCTGAAGCAGGCTGAGGCTGAGGCTGAGGCTGAGGCTGAGGCAGGCTGAGGCTGAGGCTGAGGCAGGCTGATGCTGAGGCAGGCTGAGGCTGAGGCTGAGGATGATGCAGGCTGAGGCTGAGGCAGCCTGAGGCTGACGCCGAGGCTGAAGGCAGACTGAGGCTGAGGCTGAAGCAGGCTGAGGCTGAGGCTGAGGCAGGCTGAGGCTTAGGCTGAGGCAGGCAGATGCTGAGGCAGGCTGTGATGAGGGCAGGCATGAGCTGAGGCTGGGCTGATCGCAGGTGAGGCTGGATGCAGCTGAGGCTGCTGGGCAGGCCACAGGCAGATTGAGGTGAGGCTGGACAGACAAGAGGCGAGGCAGAGCAGGCTCAGGCTTCCAGAGGCAGGCTGTTCTGAGGCGCTCAGGCCGCAACGTTGCGGGCTGAGCAGGCTGGGCTGAGGCAGCCTGAGGCTGAGGCTGAGGCTGAGGCAGGCTGAGGCTGAGGCTGAAGCAGGCTGATGCTGAGGCAGGCTGAGGCTGAGGCTGAGGCTGATGCAGGCTGAGGCTGAGGCAGGCTGAGGCTGAGGCCGAGGCTGAAGGCAGAATGAGGCTGAGGCTGAAGCAGACTGAGGCTGAGGCTGAGGCAGGCTGAGGCTGAGGCTGAAGCAGGCTGATGCTGAGGCAGGCTGAGGCTGAGGCTGAGGCTGATGCAGGCTGAGGCTGAGGCAGGCTGAGGCTGAGGCCGAGGCTGTAGGCAGACTGAGGCTGAGGCTGAAGCAGGCTGAGGCTGAGGCCGAGGCAGGCTGATGCTGAGGCTGAGGCAGGCTGATGCTGAGGCAGGCTGAGGCTGAGGCTGAGGCAGGCTGAGGCTGAGGCTGAGGCAGGCTGATGCTGAGGCAGGCTGAGGCTGAGGCTGAGGCTTATGCAGGCTGAGGCTGAGGCAGCCTGAGGCTGACGCCGAGGCTGAAGGCAGACTGTGGCTGAGGCTGAAGCAGGCTGAGGCTGAGGCTGAGGCAGGCTGAGGCTGAGGCTGAGGCAGGCTGATGCTGAGGCAGGCTGAGGCTGAGGCTGAGGCTGATGCAGGCTGAGGCTGAGGCAGGCTGAGGCTGAGGCCGAGGCCGACGGCAGGCTGAGGCTGAGGCTGAAGCAGGCTGAGGCTGAGGCAGAGGCAGGCTCAGGCTGAGGCTGAGGCAGGCTGATGCTGAGGCAGGCTGAGGCTGAGGCTGAGGCTGATGCAGGCTGAGGCTGAGGCAGGCTGAGGCTGAGGCCGAGGCTGAAGGCAGACTGAGGCTGAGGCTGAATCAGGCTGAGGCTGAGGCTGAGGCAGGCTGAGGCTGAGGCAGGCTGAGGCTGAGGCTGAGGCAGGCTGAGGCTGAGGCTGTGACTGCGACTGCCGTTGCCACTGCGACTGCCATCGCGAATGCGACTACGACTGCGAGAACAGCAGAATTCTACAACAGGATTATCATCTGAATCTTAAGGGGAATGCTTCCAGATCTGCTCCTACACATCGCTGTTACGTTGATTTGCCAGGATAATGTAGTAGATGCTCTGTGGCGGGCGCTGTCTGATCGTGCCGCTCTGGAAACGGCATACTACAAGATGGATGTACTACATGTTCGGATCGGACGCACGCCTCCGAGCAGGACGCGTAGTACTAGTATGTCCGTCTGCGTCCCATGGCGGGTTGTGGGCAAGGATCGGTACGATCGAGGTGGAAATATGGAAAGAGTGGGATTGAAGACAGACAGAGCAATTCCTGCCCATGTTGAACAGGACTGTCGTCGACGCTACCGCGGACGTCGTCCACCTGAGGCGAAAGGTCGCCTGCCCAACAGCAGCCGCTGTCGGTGTTGGACACCGTTTGCTGTCGTTGGCCACGCACAGAGGGGGTAGGGGGAGGGGGGAGGGCTTCTCAGAAGCACCCCTGCTTCTCAGGAGGCACAGGCCTTGTCTGTAGATGTTTCTTAGAAGCGGCCTCCTCCCAAGAAACCTTCCCCCCTCCCCCTACCCCTTTGTGCGCATCACCAACAGACATCCAGGGCTCATCCCGACTCCTCTGATTCGATTCGATTCAATATCGATGGTTTCCGATTCTGATGCGATTCGACTTCGGATTCCGACGTGGATGCCGATTTCTCAACGGAGTCTTTACTAGTCTGCCGAGCTGCCGAGTATCGCCGGTCCGATTCATTTCGACTGCCGATCCGATTTGTCGATTCGATTCTGGGCTCATCCGAGGCTCCGAAAATGGCAGCGGCCAGTTTGGGGCAATTTCCCGCCTCCGGGAGCAGTCACTTGCTCAGAACGAGTAGTTGGCCCTGGCCCCTGAGAAGGTGTCCAGACTTCCCGGGGGCCCACGCATCCGAAAAAAATGGGAGCGCCAGGTGTACGGGCCTCGTCCAGCCCAGGCCGGCCGCCCAAACAGGTCGAGGATCTGGGATCGAGGGTCGCGGTGTGGAGCCTCTTTGGGCGGCGTGCGACGCCCTCCTGCCCTCAGAGGAGGAAGAGGTACCGAGGTAGAGGAGGGAGAGAGACGGAGAGAGAAGCGACGAGGGAGGAGGGGGGGAGATGGGGAGCAGGAGGAGAAGGAGGAGAAGAAAGAGGAGGAGGAGGTTTTTTCATCCACCCAGCAGAGGTCTGGCCACTGGGGCCAGCTTGAAACGGGCCCGAAACCTAGCGGGGAGAAGCTGGAACCTTGCCAGCTCCGTGCAGCTGCCCCAAGAGGGGCCAATGAGCAATAATCCTATCCTCATTCCCGTGCTTGGGGTGCTTGCTCTGCAGAAATCGGCGCAACTTGTGCTGTGCTGCCTCATTGCGCTTCCACCCGGGGATCCCAAAAAGGTACCCATACCTCTACCCTTCGCCCGGTATCCCCTTTTTGGGGGCCTCCTCGGAGGCCCTCCTCGCCACCGCGGGGTTCGCCCCGAGATTCTGGTCGGAACGCACCCCGGGAGAGGTCCGGGGAGCAGCGGTACAGTCGGGGCCCTGAAGAAGGAACCCTTTTCGTTGGGGAGGGGCTCCGCGTTCCTTAAGTGTATCACAGCTTGCCTCAGGCTTTCCTTGTGTTTTCGATGGGAATTCGAAGGTTAACTTATGGAAAAAAAGGGGCCTCGTTCCTTATTTAGGGTTCCTTAGGTCAACGCCCCGACTGTATCGTTACCTTTTGGCTTCCTCATGCCCACGCCTTTTTGAAAGGCCGCCCCCCGGGCTGCCGCGTGGGACGGCATGGTGCTGGTCCACACCGCGCACACGCTCTTTGTAGGCAGGGGAGCATCAGGAGTGGAAAAAACACACAGGCACCATTAATCCTCGATTCCCCCGAAAATATGGGAAAATATGGGAAAGTGGGGGGGAAGACAGAAACTCAGAAAATATGGGAAAATATTGGGATTTGTTTGATTTGTGTGTATTTATTTGTGTGTCCCGGGGCCCCTTCAGAGCAGTGCGGTCAGCGCTCGGCTGGGACGGCCGTGGCAGGCAGATGGGTCGTAAGCATCGGCAGCTGGGGGCGCGGAGACGGGGGACACTTGGAGGAGGAGGAGGGGGGATACGAGGGGGAGGCAGTGGAGGAGAGAAGGGGGGAGGAGGAGGAGGAGGAGGGGGGCGGATGACGACGAGGAGGGAGGGGAGGATGACGCGAAGGAGGGAAAGAGGAGGGGGTGAGAAGGATGAGGGGGAGAGGAAGATGAGCAGGGGACGCAGAGGAGGAGGAGGAGGAGGAAGAGGAGGATTGCTTGGAGGGATAGGAGCAAGGGGAGGCGAGGAGGTGGAGGAGGAGGAGGAAGATGGGGTAGAATGATGATGAGGAGGAGCAGCAGCAGCAGCAGCGGCCAGTGGTCTTTGCAAACAACTGGAAGCCGCACGCCTCCGCCGCTGTCCCCAGGGGCTTCCATGGCGCGGGTGGGTGTCGCCAACTACAGCCACTCGTCCGACCATGCCGTGAAGCACCTCCCGCCTATATTCCTTGATGTTCTGAGGATCGAAGATATGAGGAGGAGCAGGAGGTGGAGGAGGAGGAGGACGACGACGACAGCGAGGAGGACGGATGACAACGAGTAGAAGGAAGAGGCAGAGAAGGACAGCGAGGAGCGACGAGCGAGGTGTGAGGGACGACGGCGACGGCGTCGTCGTCCTCACGCCGCCTCCCTCCTCCCCCATCATGTCTTCCTCCTCGTCTCTCTGCTCCCCTCCGTCTCCTCTCCTTCTTTCCTCGTCCTCTATCCCTCACTCCATCCCTTCGTCATCGATTGCGGCTAGGGAGGCAGCAGGAGAAGCTGGCCTAGATGCGGCTGAGAGCCCGACCCCAGAGCTCCCAGACCCCTTGCCGGGGGTGGCATCGTGTCGTCGAAGGAGTTATTGCAAAGGACTCACAGTTGGTTCCGCCGACATTGAGAACTAAACAGCTTGGGCGCAAGGGGTGGAAGGGGGGACGGGCGAGGAGGAGGAGGAGGAGGAAAACGAGGAGGAGGAGGAGGAGGAGGAAGAGGAGGAGAAGAGGGAGTTGAGGGAGGAGAGGAAGGAGAGGGAGGAGATGTGGTGGCTTTGATGCAAGGGCGAAAGTATAATGGTCCTCTCTGGGACCTCTGAGGGTGCGCCATGCGATCTCGAGGATGGGAGGAGGAGGTGAGGGGGGGAGGGAGGGGAGGAGGAGGAGGAGGAAGGAGGAGCAGGAGGGAAGCAGGAGCCAGGAGGAGCAGGTGGAGCAGGACGGAGGAGGAGGAGGGAGGAGAGAAGAGGAGGAGGAGGAGGGAGGGGAGGAGGAGGAGGAGGGAGGAGGCGGAGGAGGAGGAGGAGGGGACCCCCTGTGAGCCTTTGTGGCCCAATTGGGTGCGTCTTGGGGCCCCTTGAGGCCTCTGGTGGGCCTCTCCGGGGTCTTCGGATCGTGTAGGAGGGGCTCCCTTCCGACGGGCGCGACAGCGGCCGTGCTTGGGGAGCCTTTTGGGCCTCTTTTCGGAGCCTCGTGTGCGATCTTGGTCTTGCCTTGAGTTTCTTGAGAGGCCGTCTTGGGCGCTCTTGCGACCGATTCGGGGGAAGTGTTCGGATCCCACAAATCACACCGATTCGAAGGGAATGTTCAGATCCCACAAATCAGGCGATCGCAAACATGGATGAAGGGGGGGGGGACAAGCGGTGGGTCTCGTTTCCTAGGAAATCGCGGATTTCCGCCGCCGAGCGAGGCGGCGCCGGCCGCATTGCGGGGAGGGCACTTCCCCCGATCCATGGATTTGGCGACCGCACGCCAAATCCATGGATCGCTAATCCATGTTTGCGCGCCCCTGAGAATGTTCAGATCGGGGCTGGACCTAAACGGTGTTTTTGGTGATTTCGTGGGCCGGTTTCGTTTCGACTTCGTTTTGCGGTAAAGGCGGATTGGTGACAAAAGCGAGGGAAAACGAAAACAAAACGAAAACGAAAAAAACACCGTTTAGGTTCAGCCCTGGTTCAGATCCCACACATCCGATCGATTCGAAGGGATCCCACAGATGTTCTTGGGCGCTCTTCCGAACGCTCCTGAGGGACTCCGCCGAGGGGGGCATCGTGGGCCGGCCGGCCCGGACACCCCAGGGCTGCCCGCGAGGTGCCCCGAGCCGAGGCTGGCGCCGAGGGCTCCAGGGGTCAGAACGTCCAGGGTTCGTTCCCAGACCCCCTCGCGTCGTAACAATAATCACGACGAGAGGCTTTTCGCTATTTTCGGCCTCGGGGGGCCCTCGCCGGGCCTCGGGGCCGTCAAAAAACGACTCAGGATGAAAAACCGGTCCAGGGGAAGGGGTCGAGACTTTGACGGTCTCCTCTCCCTTGTCATCCTCCTCCTTCCTCCTCCTCCAGCCCTCCCTACACCTGTGCCGACAGCACGTGCCCAACCCCACCAGCGGATTCAGGGAGGCGGCGGAGTAGGGACTGGCTTTTCCCCGAAGGTTCCGGGAGACTTCTCGGATGGGTCTGGGATGGCTTCGGTGGTTTGGGGGTGCACAGTCCCTATAGCTAACCCTGGGCCTTCCAACTCCAGGGCCCGGGTGGCCAAAACAGAGCCAGATTGGCCCCAAGATCGCCCGAATCACTCCGAGGAGGAGTGAGCGGGGAGATTCACGGGAACCTCCACCCATACCCCCCCCTAACCCCCTTCGACGGCGAAGGGGTTCATGTGAAGGGAGGGTCGACCTAAACGGTGTTTTGACGATTCCGTGGGCCGTTTGCGTTTCGATTTTGTTTGCAGCAAAAGCGGATTGGAGACAAAGCGAGGGAAAACGAAGACACAACGGAAACGGAAAACCTTGTTTTTTGTTTTTTTCGGTTTTTTTTTTTTTAGTTTTTATTTTTGTTTTTATTTGTTCTTTTTTTGTGTTTTTTTTATTTTTTTTTTTCGTTTCTTTTTTTTTTTTGTTTTTTTTTTTTTTTTTGTCCTTTATCTTTATTTATTTTTGTTTGTTTTTTTTTGTTTCCTTTTTTTTTTTTTTTTGTTTGTTTAGGTCGAGCCTTGGGGACTCCCCTTCGACTAGATTACAACCTGGGTCGGTTCATTTCGGGCAGGCGAGCTCGGAGAGCACCGGGAAGGGTGGAGGAGCGTCGAGGGGAAAAGCGTCGCCCAGGACCACCCCTGGACGATCACCCCAGGGCTCCCCCTCCGGGCCGACGTCGGCGATGCATCGGCGATGAGGCGCGGTGCATCGCCGACGTCGCCGACGCATCGCCGATGCATTGCCGATGCGACGCGATCCTCCGACACCATCTACTCGGACCCCATTTTGGGGGAGGTCGGGCCGCACGAAAGGGTAGGATATAGGGAAAGGGGGGGGTACGAAATCTGCTGCATGCAGCTGGTTTCCGCCCCGCCGCCCGGGCCCATTCCTCGATACACGGGCGCCTCCCGGCGCCAGCAGGCGCCAGGATAGCCAGCAAGGTAAGCTGATTATCAACCCTACTCTTTGCCATCTTACCCTTTTTTCGTCACCCCCGAATCACCACGCGCTGGCAGGGCCGGCGGCTTCCTGTTGGCCCGTGGCCCCAGACACGGCTTCCCCGGAGGCCGAAAGTGAAGGAAGACCTCGGGCGCTGCGCAGGCGGGGGGCGACAAATTGGGGGGCGAAGAAACGTACACCAGGGCTGGACCTAAACGGTGTTTTTGGTGATTTCGTGGGCCGTTTTCATTTCGAGTTCGTTTTGCGGTAAAGGCGGATTCGAGACAAAAGCGAGGGAAAACGAAAACAAAACGAAAACGAAAAACCCCGTTTAAGTTCAGCCCTGACGTACACTCAGGTCGGGCATCTCCGTCCTCCTACAAGCGGATTTGGAGGACAAATACGGTTAAATTATATTCAGAACTGGTCAGAAATAGTCGAGAAATCGTCCCCGTTATTTATCTTATTATTTTTGAATGTTCCTCCTCTAGAGGGACATGCCCGACTCAAACGTACACCTTTTGTGCCCTACAGGGCCCCCCTGGGGCCCAAAAGGGGTCCGAAAGGTGCACGTTTCTCCACCCCCTCGCATACTAGCGCACCCCCATGATCAGGCAACGCCCGAAAGAATCTGTTGGGTCGGGGATTTGTCGTCTCGGTGGCTCAAAGAGAGAGAGGGCCCCGAGGGATGGGGCCCGAACATCGAAGAACAAGCACAGCACAACCAGAAAGCTGTCGGAGCTCCGGGCGGATTTCCTGGATCGGCGCTGTCCCCCCCCCCTCTCCTCCTCCTCCTCCTCCTCCTCTCCTCTCTCACTCCTTCACTCCTCCTCCTCCTTCCTCCTTTCCCTCCTCCTCACTCCTCCTCATCCTCCTCCTCCTCTCCTCCTCTCCTCCTCCTCCTCCTCCTCCTCCTCCTCCTCCTCCTCCTCCTCCTCCTCCTCCTCCTCCTCCTCCTCCTCCTCCTCCTCCTCCCGCGGCGCCTCCGACGCCGCTCACGGCGCGCTCCGAGCTACAGGGAGGGGATTCCAGCGCCGATCCAAGAAATCCACGCGGACCTCCGAAAGGTCAATGATATGTATCCCGCAAATTCTGTTCTTCTGGGACAGCAGCCCGAGCAGGGGCGCTTGCCCTGGCAACAACACACAGGAAGGGACTCCCTTGGTGGCATTCGCACTGCTCGGGGCCTGCTCGCCACGGTGCCCCATCACGGCCCGCTCCCATCCGATCGATGGTATCCATTTGGCCGGCTCGATCCGATTCGAATCCGATGTTCCGGCGATCATATGCGGCCGATTTGGGTGGGCTTGCCCAAAGATCCAACGAGTTGAAAAAATCAAGACGAAGGTTTGTCGCAGTTTTCAGCCTCCAGGGGCCCTCGCTGGGCCCCAGGACCGTCAAAAAACGACTCGGGATGAAAAGCCTGTCCTGGGAAATGGGTCGAGACTTCGGGGACCCCGCATTAAAAAAATCACAACATCGGATTTTTGGGTACTTCGATCCGATCGATCCGATCCGATATCGATTTCGGCTGGCCCAGTCCGATCCGAATCCGCTGTTTCGGCGATCTAGTGCGGCCCGATGCTTGCGTGGCTTTGCTGTGCATCCTGGCGCAGCCGATCTTGGTCCGGTTCTAGCCCTGTGCCGATGCAGCCCGATCCGACGTACATTCCGATTCGACCCAATTTCCCGATTTGATGCCAGCTGGTTTTGCCCATGTCGTCTCAGGTCGGACGAAAGGAGGAATAAGGAAGGGGGGGCACTACATCTGCTGCATCCAGCTGGTTTCGGCCCCGCCGCATCCTCGACACGTGGATGCCTCTGGCGCAGGGAGGCGCCGGGAAGATCAACCGCATGAGTTGACACACTGACCCCTTTTATGCTGATATCATCTGTGGACGACTTGCGTGCAGCGAGCCACGTCGGCGTCTCCTGAGGCGTGCTTGACCCTCGATCCAGGAGTGGTACGGTGCATAGCCTTCTGGCCATCAGAGCCGAAGATCCATGCGCCGCACCGCGTTAGAACGGGGCGTGAAGGGAGTCGAAACATGGCACGATGCATGGGCGCCGTTCCTTGGGGCTACTCGCCCGCCCCTGGGCTATTCGCCCCTGACGTCGCCTCCGACGAATCCTTTCCCCCTGTATGTTAATGCCCGCCCCCGTTCCGTCCAGCCCAACCGCGTCGGGGCTCCATCTTTGAAGCGTCTGGCACCATTTGCGAACCCTGCCCCCCTCCAGGTCCAACCGCTGCTGTTGTGTCGGGCACCCCTGCTGGGGTTCACCCCGGACGGGGCCAGAGCAATCCAGAACGCTCTCAGAGCGTTCCGAAGTGCACTGAGCAGGCGACGGCGCCAGATTCGTCCTCCAGAGCCGCCAGATCTTAGAAATTCTCGATTCATCCTCACCCGAATTTGTCATCGTCCTGTCACCCAACTGCAGGCATCCTTCGGATTCTGAACCCCACCTGGTTCTTGAGAAATCCGAGCTGCAGGAGTGGGCAGGGTCGGAGCTGCACGGACGGCCTCGTGTCGGTTCCGTGGATCGTTTTCGTTTGATTTCCGTTTCGCAGCAGACGCGGAACAAAGACCGAGCTAGGGAAAGCGAACAAAAAACGAAAACGACACGGTTCAGATCGAGCCTTGGGGGTACGGCTCACGTCTGCTTGCTTGCGGGGGTGGGGCTCGCATGCGTCAGGAGGGAGACCTCAGCATCAGTGCAGACCAGATTTCGACTCCCGTGAAAGTGTGGAGCGGCTGGGAAAGAGCGGGGAAAGGTGAGAGTTGGAACACGCGGGGCGGGCGGTGGTTTAGGGGCAGCCAGGCACTTGGGCCTCCTCCCTGCATGAGTGAGGCGGTCCTGGCCTTCGGGCTCCGTTCTACTGGTGCGGGGGGGAGGTGGGCGATGGTGTTGGGGGGCCCCTCGGTGCAGCCCCCTCGACCATGGATGTGGTGGGAACCAAGAGAGAGGGCCACTGGAGAAGCACCTGGGAATCTGTGTGCCTGCGTGCTGCTCGTGCCTCCCCTGGCCCCTCGAGAGCGGCTGCCCAGCCCTGCCGCCGCCGCCGAGGCCTCCGCGCGCGCGCGGCCGCCCGCGCCGCCAGGCAAGACAGGTACTGGCGCGAGACCCTCGAGCGCGGGCAGCGGGACGCCTCCTCTCATGCCTCCTCCTCCTCCTCCTCCTCCTCCTCCTCCTCCTCCTCCTCCTCCTCCTCCTCCTCCTCATCTCCCCCTCGGCAACACCTTAAGTATATGCAGTTGGAACTCTCGTGGTCTTCATGGGGGAGTTTCTGGTTCTCATGGGCTCCAGCGTCGAAAGCAGAAAAAAAGTCGACTATCTTTCCGCCAGACATTCTATTGCTCTTCTGCAGGAAACGCACGGGGCCCCAGGAGATGACGAAACCTTTCGACTGTCTCTACCTCAGCATCGTATCTACACTATTTCCTGTCAGTCTGCTCACGCTGGTGGATGTGCTATCATCGTCCAACAATCTCTCGCTCGTCTCTTTCGCTCTGCTCGGCATCGCGTTCATCAGGCAGGCAGGCTCCACTCGCTTCTGCTTTCGGGGCCTATGGGATGTTTGCAAATCATCAATATTAATCTGGATCCTGAGCTTCGTGTGCAACAGAAAAGAAATGTGCTCTCGGAAGCAGCTCGTCTTGTTCGTGGGTCGAGGCTTGCGCTCACTCTCTTTGGAGGCGACTTCAACTTTTACGCTCCTGGAGAGGACCGTCAGTATCTTGACGGGCGGCGCTCGGGAGGTAATACGTCGAATTGCTACCACCTGGATAGTTTCTTCCAGGCCAAGTTTCCTGGTCTAGCGGAGGTCGAGCAGGAATGGCCCACTCATGTTCGAAATCGCAATGGGGCTCCTGAGTCGGTTGCGAGGTTGGATCGGATCTATACGAATGCTTACACGTCTACCCTTCTCGACCTCCATCCTACCACAGGTGTACATGAGAGTGTATTTGGCGTTGGCAACTGCAGTGACCATATTCCGATCTACTTGGGGCTCACGCCGGCCTCGATGAGAAACCAGAACCAGGGGCGCATTCCGACTTGGGTTGCCAAACGCCCCAGTTTTCCTGGGCATGTCGAAGCGATTGCTGCGTCCGTGGATTTTCACCTCGACCCGACCATCAAACTCGCTGAAGTCAAGTCAGTTGCCTTCGCCGCGAAGCAGGCGGTGCTTGCCGAACTTGCAGGCTCTTACCCAGTGACCCCCATACAGAAGATCTCGTGGATGCTTGCTGCGCAGCGCGCCATTCGTAGAGGGGACGGTGGCGTCGTCGCCAAGGCCTGCCGTGGGTTTCCTGATCTTCGGAGATTTATTGATACTGGGTCTGGGCAATTCTCGGACTTCGACGGGTTCCAAGGGCTGATGAATCTTCTGAATCGCGAGCATATTGACCACCTCATGCACGATAATCACGAGCTACCCGAAACCCACTCGAAGAAGCAGGCCCGAGCTGAGGCCTTGAGGAAACGTCAGGCGGGGTGGTCCCCCAAATCCAGGAAGATCGGGCTGGCCCAGATTCGAGACCCACGAGGCATGCCGATTGCTAACCCTGCTCACGGAGCTGAGGCGTCGCGAATTCACTGGCAGGGCATCTTCTCCGAGGTGGCGGTGGAGGAGGAGGTCATAGACATGTTTATACCGTTTGTGGACAAAGCCCTCCCGAACCCTGTTACGAAAATGCCGTTCTACCACTTTGTCGAGCTTCTGGAGGCTCAGTCGGATTCGGCCGTTGGCCCTGATGGGCCCCCGTATTCTGTTTGGTGGAAAGGAGGACGTCTGATGCACGAAACCCTGTGCGAGTTATACGAGGCTCTACTGAGTGGCACCCCTTTGCCACATCAGTTTCACGTTGCACTAAGTGTCTTTCTGCCCAAGGGCACTGAGCGCGAGGACCAGTACGCGATTGCCCGACAGCCCGCCATCACCCGCCCCATCGCCCGCAGCAACACCGACAACAAAACTATGAGCAAAATGATTGGCCGGTACCTCGCGCCCATTGCCGACAGCTCAGTCGACTTCAGCCAGCGTGGCTTTATCGGAGGCCGTCAGCTTGCTGAAAACATCATCGAGCTCGAGGCCGTCATTCTCCGCTGGGTCTCAGTGTATGGAGAGCCAGAGGCTGCCCATGTTTTTTTCGACATCGCCAGTGCCTTTCCGTTTCTGGCGCACGGTTGGATCCTTCGGATTTTGCGAGCCATGGAATTTCCTCCAAATATTATCTGGGCCATCCAGGAGCTGTACCGCGACGTTGTCATGCACGTTTCCTTTCGGGGGTTTTGTGAGCAGGACGGTTTGGGCATTCGGTGCTCCCGAGGGGTGAAACAAGGATGCCCGCTTTCTGGACTGATTTGGGCGCTGTGCTTTGACCCGGTTATCAGGAGACTGAAGTTCCAGCTCGCTCAGCATCAATGCAGGCTTGGTGTATTTGCGGATGACCTTGGGCTCTCGTGCAGGCACTTCTTTGAGAGTATGCCTGTGGTTATGTCGGAGTTCAGGCTTGTTAAGCGAGGCGCTGGGCTCACTGTCAACACGAATAAGACGTTCATTGTGTCCTTCGGGGAGGAGGGGAAGGATTGGGTCGCCCAGAAGTTGAAGGATGGATAAGGGGGTTGAGGAGACAGATTTTCAGTTCGTGGCTTCTGCCAGGTATCTTGGGATTTTCTTAGGTCTCAACAGAGCGGGGGCGTCTTGGGCTCACCCGATCTCCGAGCTTAAGAAGAGAATCTGCCACATCAAGAGTCTCCAGATGGGTCTTCTTGCAAGTCTGGCGGCTTTCAACCTTGTTGGGTTTCCGACGCTTACGTTTGTGGGCCAGTTCTTCCCGCCTCCACCCGAGGCCACTAGAGCTGTCCGAGAGGCGCTGCAGGCTTTGGCCAACGGGCCCAGGCATGCGATCCCTCCGAAGCCCTTGCAGAATTTCAAGACTATCGGTGCGCCGCTCGAGCCGCGCCATCTCGAGCTCGAATGTAAAGCTGCCGCGTGTCGAGTTGCCGTTCGGAGTCCGCAACTGCACCTTGCTCGTGAAGGGTGGGCCCGCGCGCTGGAAGATGATGAGAGGGTCCTTCTCCCTCGCCGGCAGTTATGGGTGCAACAGAGCATCTTTCATCACCTCTCGACTGTGCAGGACGAGCTAGAGCTGATCCCTCGATGCCCTGTTGATCGTCGCACGCCTAATCTTCAACGGGCAGTGTACCAGCTCCTCCAAGCTAATATGGATGTTCCCTCTGCTGCTGCTCTTCTGCTTCCTCGGCTTCAACGCTTTGATCCTTAGCTTTCTCAACATGATGCTGATCGTTGCTCTCGCAACTTGCTTCTCCTCAGCGCCGAGCTTCCCTTCTTCATTGTTGTCGCTCAGCTGCGGGGGATCTGCAACGGGTGGCGCACTACGAGGAGGTTTAGACATAACGGAGGAGGAGCTCTAACGTGTCTATTCGGATGTCGTGTTGTCGGTGGCGATTGTGTGAGACACTACGATGGCTGCCCTGTAGCAGTAGCCGCTCTCTCCCGTTTGTTCCCTAGCCTGTCTGCCTGCTTTGCCGAGCATCCATCTCTGTCTCGTCTTCTCCTTCATCGTGTATGCTATTCTAATCGTAGCCAGCTGCTTTTTCTAGGTGTTGCCTCTGATCTCCTGCTCTCCTCTTTCAATGCGCTGAGGAGCAAGGGAAGGATGTCGAGTGCTCAGGTTTTTGTTCTGATGGAAGCCCGCGCCCGCGCTATTGCGAAAAAGGCAATGCGGGCCAGGCTGCTTCTTGCGACAGGCGCCAGTCCCGATCACTCCGAGACTGCGCTCGCGCCTGAGGGGTAAGGTTTCGAGTTTCGGGTCCGCTTTGCTCTCGAGAGTGGAATTCATGGACATCGGACTTCTCGTTTCTCTTCTGTTGCCTCGTGTCCGCTTCTTTCCCTTCCCTTGCTCGCTTCGTGTCCGCCTGCCCTCTCTCGTGGTGAGCGTCGCTCCTCCTCCTCCTCCTCCTCCTCCTCCTCCTCCTCCTCCTGCCTCCTCCTCCTCCTTCTCCTCCTCCGCCTCCTCCTCCCCCTCCTCCTCCTCCTCCTCCTCCTCCTCCCCCTCCTCCTCCCCCCTCCTCCTCCTCCTCCTCCTCCTCCTCCTCCTCCTGCCTCCCCCTCTCCTCCTGCCCCTCCTCCTCCTCCTCCTCCTCCTCCTCCTCCTCCTCCTCCTCCTCCTCCTCCTCCTCCTCCTCCCGTCGCCTGCCTACTCCTCCTCCTCTTTCTCCTCCTCCTTCCACCTCCTCCTCCTCCTCCTCCTCCTCCTCCTCCTCCTCCTCCCCCTCCTCCTCCTCCTCCTCCTCCTCTCCTCCTCCTCCTCCTCCTCCCCTCCCTCCTCCTTACCTCCCCTCCTGCCTCCTCCTCCACCTCCTCCTCCTCACTCCTCCTCCTCCCTCCTCTCCTCCTCCTCCTCCTCCTCCTCCCCCTCCTCCTCCTCCTCCTCCTCCTCCTCCCCCTCCTCCTCCTCCATTGGGGTTCCCCCTCGTACTGGGGGGTGCTTAGCTAAATCGCATCCGCCTGCACACGATAGGTCGCACGTAGCTGCATGGTGCCCGCGCTCACCGCTATGTGGTCGTATAAGAGACATTCGGCCCGATATCGCTTCGCCGCCGCCACCGCCTCCTCATCCTCCTCCACCCTGCCTGCCTCCAGGGTGCCCTGGGCTTCTCGGGTGTCGATGGCTTGGCTGTGGAGAGCGCGCGACGCTCCCGCGCCAAACATCGGTGGACGCCCTGGGGTCTCAGCGTTGGGCTTCTCGTGGACGGGCCTCCACTCCGCCGCGAGGGTCGCGGCGTCGGGGATCGAGCATCGCTCGCCACGGCTGCGCGCGAGGCGCTCCAGGGAGGGCCTCGCCTTGGAGGGCCGAGGGAGTTGCCACCTCTTCCCCGCCCTCGAGGATCGAACAAAAAAAAAACTCGCCACAGCTGCGCGTGGCAGTGCGAAGCGTCTGCCACGCCGACCGCTCCAGCGGTGGATTGGCGACACACGCAACGGTTGTACGCTTAAATCGGGCCTGTCCCTCGACAGGAGGAATATACAAACATAGCTTTATACAAACAGTTTGGGGACTATTTCTTGATCAGTTTTTTCGTATGAGCATGTTGGGGGTATGTGCTATCATTCGCCCAAAATTCCCCTGGAGGGGACATGCCCGACCTAATTGTACGAACGTCGTGTGCAAAAAAGGAATGGGAATCGGTTGTATCAGATTTGGAGCATGGACAGACATGGGAGACTTCGCACGTGTCCCGCACAAGACGGCCCAGAGCTACACAACCACAGGGTATTGACTGACTTGGCCAGAGCATTCTGTGCGACGTTCGAGTGATGCTGGCCCCCCCTCGGCGCAACCGCCCAGCCCCGCGTAGGACCGTCCCCCTGGAACGACACAAGCGCAGCCTCCAGTCTCAAGCACCACTCGCAATGGCAAGGTCTGCTTCGATCCGATCGATCCGATTCGATATCGAATTCGGCCAGCCCAATCCGATCCGATTCCGATGTTCCTGCGATCTGATGCGGCCCAGTGTTTGCATGTAGTCGTTGTGCATCCTGACGCCGCCCATCCGATTCGGTTTCGATGTCGTGCCGATGCAGCCCCATCCGACGCACATTCCGATCCGACCCGGCTTCCCGATTCGATTCTGAGTGGTCTTTCCACGGGGTCTTGAGGGAAACGGGTCATGGAGTTGACGACGACGACGACGACGACGACGACGACGACGACGACGACGACGGTTATGTGCTTTCGGGTTTCCCAGGGTCCTCCAGGGGCCCCACCCAGGGCCGTGAGAGAGCAGCCCAGGACCACAAGGAGTTGGTGGTTTTAGGCTTAAGTCGGGCCTATCCATCTACAGGAGTACTATTCAAAACATGTTATAGCACATATACAGTCAGGGGCGATGTTTCTATTCGGTGTGATTATTTGTTGAGTCGTTTTAAACATTGATTATTGCTCTGCCAAAATCGGCCTAGAGGAGGACATGCCCGACCTAACTCCAGGCCTCCTAGATGGCGTCCGAGCAGATGGTGTCGGAGGATCGCGCCGCATCGCCGATGCACTGACGATGCGGCTCGACGTGGAGCCTGTGTTTCCCCTCGCCGACGCCGCCGACGCATCGGCGAGGCGGCGCGATCCTCCGACGACCCCATCTGCCCGGACCTCCGTCCTCCTCCTCCTCCTCCTCCGCCTCCGCCTCCGCCTCCTCCTCCTCCTCCTCCTCCTCCTCCTCCTCCTCCTCGTCCTAGGAGGCCTCTGGTGCTGGTGGAAGGCCCCAGGGTCCAGGATGCCAGGAGGGTTGCGCTCTCGAGGGGTCGAGCGTCACAGCCCGAGCTCGCCATACATTCCAGGCGCCGGAAGGAAGGAACGGGTCGGGGAGCTGAGGTCGGAGGGAGGATGGGCGGCGCCACCGCCAGGGGAGGCACCTCCAGCGAGGTGGCCCACGAGGCCACGATGTCTCTCCGAGTTCGGGATAGTCGAAGAAGAAAAAACGCCACAAACATACACTTTCGGAGCTCCGCGCGGATGTCTTGGATCCGCGCTGGGCCCCCCAGGCGGCGCCTCCAGCGCCGCCCCACGCGCCGATCCAACAGACCCGCTCGGAGCTCCAAAAATGTATGTATATGCAGTTTGTGATTCCTCTGCGGAAATGCCTTTCCCTACCCAGCGTTTCTTGTGGTGCAGCCTCACGGCACCCGCCTGGCGACCCTGCAGACGCCCCCCGCCCTACTCACTGTTGTTGCATACATGCGGGGCTCCTGCCGCCAGCGGCTCCGTTCTCCTCGCGCGCGCGCCAGCCTTCTCGGGGCCTCCCAAGTGGGGCCCAAGCAAACGGAGTCGAAGGATCGCGCCGCATCGCCGCTGCATCGGCGATGCGGCTCGGTGTAGAGACCGATCTTCTCCACGCCGACGCCGCCGACGCATCGCTGACGTCGCTGATGCATCGGCGAGCGTCGAGGAGGAGGAGGAGGAGGAGGAGGAGGAGGAGGAGGAGGAGGAGGAGGAGGAGGAGGAGAGGAGGAGGAGGAGGAGGAGGAGGAAGAGGATGAGGAGGAGGAAGGAGGAGCAAGGGCTCTTTGGAGGGTGCGAAATGATTCGCGCTTCGCGATCTGGACGACGTCAGAGCGAGGCGCGAAGTTTTTCGCGCTTCGCGGTCTGAGCCTACGAGGGTTTCCAGAGCGAAGGTAGACGCGCATCCTTGGGGCTAGGCCATTGAGGGATAGCATCGCGGGCTTCGCGGTCTGGGCGACGTCAGCGCGAGGCGCGAAGTTGTTCGCGCTTCGCGCGGAGCCCGTAGAGTTTGGATAAAGTTTTCGTAGGGGGCCAGTGAGTTAGGATAAGGTTGTCGGAGGGAGGCCCAGGGGTTAGGATAAGGTTTTCGAGCGGAGCCCACGGAATTCGGGGTAGGTTTTCGCGCGGAACCCTTGGAGTTGGGGTAAGGTTTTCGTAAGGGGCCATTATGTTAGGAGAAGGTTTTCGTAGGGGGCCAGGGGTTAGGGCAAGGTTGACGCATGGAACCGAAGGAACTCGGATCCGGTTTTCGCTCAGAGCACATGGAGTGTGGATACGGTTCTCGTAGTGGGGCCCGTGAGTTAGGATAAGGTTTTCGCAGCGCTCCCTGGGCGTTAGCATGAGGCTCATGGCTCCGCCTGAAAGCCTACGAACTCCATGGGCTCCGCGCGGAACCTAATCCGAATTCCAAGGGCTCCGCCCGAAAACCTTATCTTGACTCCCAGCCTCCCTACGAAATCCTTGTCCTATCTCACTGGCCCCACGACGAAAACAATATCCGAACTCCATGGGCTCCGCGCGAAAACCTAATCCGAATTCCGTGGGCTCCGCCCGAAAACCTTATCTTGATTCCCAGCCTCCCTACGAAAACCTTATCCTAACTCACTGGCCCCCCTACGAAAACCATATCCGAACTCCATGGGACCCGCGCGAAAACCTAATCCGAATTCCGTGGGCTCCGCCCGAAAACCTTATCCTGACTCCCCGGCCCCTCCACGAAAACCTTATCCTAACCCGCTGGCAGCCCTACGAAAACCATATCGGAACTCCATGGGCTCCGCGCGAAAACCTAGTCCGCATTCCTTGGGCTCCGCCCGAAAACCTTATCCTGACTCCCAGGCCCCTCCACGAAAACCTTCTCCTACCCTACTGGTCCCCCTACGAAAACCATATCCGAACTCCATGGGCTCCGCGCGAAAACCTAATCCGAATTCCTTGGGCTCCGCGCGAAAGCCTTATCCTAATTCCTGGCCCCCCCCTACGAAAACCTTATCCTAATTCACAGCCCTCTTACGGAAAGCATATCCGAACTCCACGGGCTCCAAGCGAAAACCTGATCTGAATGCCTTGGCCTCCGCCCGAATACTTGGCCCTAACCCCCGGGCGTCCCTACGAAAACCGTATCCGAACTCCATGGGCTCCGCGCGAAAACCTAGTCCGAATTCCGTAGGCTTCGCCCGAATACCTTATGCTAGCTCCCAGCCTCCCTACGAAATCCTTGTCCTATCTCACTGCCCCCCCTACGAAAACAATATCCGAACTCCATGGGTTCCGCGCGAAAACCTAATCCGAATTCCGTGGGCTCCGCCCGAAAACCTTCTCCTGACTCCCAGCCTCCCTACGAAAACCTTATCCTAACTCACTGGCCCCCCTACGAAAACCGTATCCGAACTCCATGGGATCCGCGCGAAAACCTAATCCGAATTCCGTGGGCTCCGCCCGAAAACCTTATCCTGACTCCCCGGCCCCTCCACGAAAACCTTATCCTAACCCGCTGGCAGCCCTGCGAAAACCATATCGGAACTCCATGGGCTCCGCGCGAAAACCTAGTCCGCATTCCTTTGGCTCCCCCCGAAAACCTTATCCTGACTCCCAGGCCCCTCCACGAAAACCTTATCCTACCCCACTGGTCCCCCTACGAAAACCATATCCGAACTCCATGGGCTCCGCGCGAAAACCTAATCCGAATTCCTTGGGCTCCGCGCGAAAGCCTTATCCTAATTCCTGGGCCCCCCCTACGAAAACCTTATCCTCATTCACAGCCCCCTTACGGAAAGCATATCCGAACTCCACGGGCTCCAAGCGAAAACTTAATCTGAATGCTTTGGCCTCCGCCCGAATACCTTGCCCTAACCCCTGGGCGCCCCTACGAAAACCATATCCGAACTCCATGGGCTCCGCGCGAAAACCTAGTCCGAATTCCTTGGGCTCCGCCCGAAAACCTTATCCCAACTCCCGTGCCCGCCTTCGAAAACCTTATTCTAATTCACTGGGCCCAATACGATAACGCGTATCCGAACTCCATGGGCTTCGCGCGAAATCCAAATCGGAATTCCTTGGGATCCGCCCGAAAACCTTCTCCTAACTCTCGGCCCGCCCCGACGAAACCTTATCCTAGCGTATTCCCCCTTGCGAACCTCATTCGAAGTCCTTGGGCTTTGCGCAAAAACCTCATCATAATTCTTGCCCCCCCCCTGCGAAAACCTTATCCTAACTCACTGGCCCCCATGCGAAAGCCATATCCGAACTCCATGGGCGCCGCTCGAAAACCTAATCCGAATTTCTTGGGCCCTGCGCGAAGATCTCATCGGAATTCTTTGGGCTCCCTACCAAAACCTTATCCTAACCAACTGGGCGCCCTACGAAAACCATGTCCAGACTCCTGGGGCTCCGCGCGAAACCTACTCCGAATTAGTTGGCCTCCGCTCGAAAGCCATCTCTTGATGTTACGAAAAGCTTATCTGAAATCACTGGGCTCCTCACGAAAAGCATTCCCAACTTCGAGGGCTGGCGTTCCTCCCTCATCGTCCTCTGTCCCCACGTCCACCTCAGTCCTCATCCTCTGCATGCCTTGCGGGCCTGCGCGAAGCTAGGAGCCCTTAAGGAGGAGGAGCGAGGAGGAGGAACGAGGAGGAGGAGCGAGGAGGAGGAGGAGGTGGAGCTCACCCACAAGGGGATCAAGGGTCCCAGATCGAGGTTCGCATAGCGCCCGCGACTCCGTTTTGCTCTCGGGCGCGCGCGAGCGCACTAGGCCGCGGCCGCCCGCACCGCGGAGAAGAGGGTGGAGGAGCAAGTAGGAGGAGGAGGAGGAGGAGGAGGAGGAGGAGGAGGAGGGAGGAGGAGGAGGAGGAGGAGGAGGAGGAGGAGGAGGAGAGAGGAGGAGGAGGAGGAGGAGGGAGTAGGAGGAGGAGGAGAAGGAGGAGGAGGTAGGAGGAGGAGGTAGGAGGAGAAGGAGGAGGAGGAGAAGGAGGAGATGGAGGAGAGGAGAAGGAGGAGCAGGAGCAGGAGCAGGAGGATCGAGGAAAAACTAACAACATGTAGTCCACCCGCATAGTAAGGATGAGCCACTTCGGAGCATCCTCGGCGACTTTCGCTGGCCAGCCCCGTTCGGAAGACGTCAACATGGCCTTCCAAGGCCCGTGCACCCTTATCGCACATCCTTACCATGCGGGCTGACTGTGAGCAGAAACTTCCCGGGCTCCGTGCGGACGGAGTTCTTGGATCAGCGCTGCAGTGCCCCTTGGCCTGCGCCTCCGGCGCCGCTCCCGGCGCGCTCCGCGCGCCAGGGAGTGGGGGCCCCAGTGCCGGTCCTACAGTCCGCGCGGATGTCAGAGACCTTCTCTGTGTATGCCGTTTCTTGCCCCTATGGAGGACGAGGAGGGGGAGGAGCAGGAGGAGGAGGAAGAGGAGGAGGAGGAGGAAGAGGGGGAGGAGGAGGAGGAAGAGGGGGAGGAGGAGAAGGAGGAGGAGACCCTCACCCCTGAGGGAATCGAGGGCCCCAGATCGAGGTTCGAGCATCGCGGCTCGGGGGTGAGGTTGTTGCTTGTTGTTGTTTCCCCCTGCTTTGGGCTCTCTGGTGGTAGCGGCTTGACTGTAGTCCTCGTCCGCATCGTCGTCGTCCCGCGGGGTAAGGACCACCCGTTCTCCACGTTCAACATGCCAGCGCCGCGGAGGGGATGTGGCCGGGAATGGGGAAACGAGGGACGAGGACGACTGTGCATGTTCATGCCGCGAGTGAGCGGCATAGTAGAAGCAGGAGGGGACCAGGATCAAGGGAAGAAACCACCCGGACCCGATAATTGGCGTTTACTAAGCGGCCCTGGGCGTTCACGAAACTGCCCTGCCCTGCTCGATTCCTTCTTCGGGTGTGTTTACTGAACGGCCTCGCTTGTCGGAGTGGTGATTGTGGGGGGGATTGATTGCCCTCTGCAGGAGGAGGAGTACAGCCAAGACTCTGAAACAAGTGGCACGCGTGCCCTGGCTCTTGCACCAAGGAGCTGCGAGGGACAGGAGGCGTTCGCCTCCTTCCTCCAGGAGTTTCCTTCCGTGGCCAGGGGGGAGGGGGGGGGGGGCGAACGACGAACGAATGAACGACGACGACGACGACGAGCGAAACGAAAGAGGTCCGAGCTCTAGAACACAGCTGTGCAAGAGAATAATGTGTCTCTCCGGCCCAGGAAAGGGGCTCTGGTTGGCGTACCGCTCCTCAGGTCGATGTCGGGAAGCCCGAGGGTGGCCCATGCCCGGCGTGGCCGGCGCTACCGCTGGCAGCCCGGAGGGCAGCATTCGAAGCAGGATGGGGGGGAGGAGAACGGGGGGGGCGAAGGAGAAGGACCCTCCCTCTTCCTCCTCCTCCTCCTCCTCCTCCTCCTCCTCCTCCTCCTCCTCCTCCTCCTCCTCCTCCTCCTCCTCTCCAACTGCTAGCGGCACTTTCTGCTGATTTCGGCGGCGGGATAGTTCCTTCCGTCCCCCAGGGCGCCTGGGTCGGGGGCAGTCGCTCGCAGGCGCGCCTAGGGGTTTAGTAGGGTTGACCACAGGCCCGGTCACGGCCCCCACACACCCGAAGAGAGACAGCTCAGTCAAGGTCGGGGGCGGCAAAGAGGGGGGTGATGACTAGGGGGGGGTGGATATCATGGCGTAGGCCATGATATTTCCCCAGATTTCATGGCGCCTCTTCTTATTTCATTACGTCCCTGGCCCCCCCGCTGGGCCGCGCACATGCCGCCGGTCATGGTTTGCACCCCCCCCTCTTGGACACCCCCCTCTTGGCCGCTCCCGACAAGGACCTGGGAGTGGCGGGGTGAGCAGGATCAGGAGCGACAGAGGGACGTGCGCGTACACGAATCCACGCTGGTTCCGAGAGCACGCACTGCGCGAACGTTCGCACGTTCATATCACGCGGCCGGTCTCTCGCATTGGGGGGCCGTGTTCATGTACGTGGTTGGGGTGCGCTCGTCCTAGGTGGGCTCGCTGCAGGAGGGAACGGGTCTGGACATCGCCCGAGCCATCGGGGCAAGCCGGCCTAGAAGTGGATGCTCGATCGTCCTTGGTTTCAGTCGGGCCTGTCCCTCGGCAGGCGAAAAATTCAAGAATAGTCAAACAATAGCCTAGGATTTGTTTGATTGATAGTCAACAATAGCCAACAATAGTCAAATAATTCAGAATAGTCAAACATTGGCTGATTTGTTTGATTCTTTGAGTACAGTCAATACGCTGAAGCACGGAACACTTCGGGCTCGGAAGTGGCTTGGTGTTCCGCAGGTTCCTCCGTTTTGCGTTTCCGCTAAGCCAACCTGGGGCGCGCAGGCGCTTTCAAGGCCAAGAGGGGGCTGCGTTCCTTCTTCAGCGGTCCTCCTTTCAGCGGTCCGACTGCATGTTTGGGATACGCTGCATGCTTTCCCTCTCGCTCCTCGTTTTCGGCCCGCCTTGCCTCACCTCGAGGCTGCGGAGGAGGAGGAGGAGGAGGAGGAGGAGGAGGGGGAAGAGGAGGAGGAGGAGAAGGAGGAGAAAGAGAGGGGAAGGAGGAGGAGGAGGAGGAGGAGGAATGAGAGTATTGCTCACGTGCCTTTGGGACACACGGCGCCTTGCTTGCTTGCTTGCTGCGTGCTTCGCCCAAGAGATCGTCCTGCAGGAGGACGTGCCCGACCCACCGATCGCCCCTTGGCCTCGGCGCCAGGGAGAGGAGGGAGGAGGAGGAGGAGGAGGAGAGGAGGAGGAGGAGGAGGAGGAGGAGGAGGGAGGAGGAGGAGGGAGGAGAGGAGGAGGAGGAGGGAGGAGGAGGAGGAGGAGGAGGAGGAGGAGGAGGAGGAGGAGGAGGAGAGGAGGAGGAGGAGAGGAGGAGGAGGAGGAGGAGGAGGGAGGAGGAGGAGGAGGAGGAGGAGGAGGAGGAGGAGGAGGAGGAGGAGGAGGAGGAGGAGGAGGCGCCGCGAGGGGGGGGCCCGCCCGCCGGGAGGAGCGGGGCGCCCTCCCCAGGGTGCCCTCGGAGGGCCTCTCGCGGGCAGGGGGGATCCGCGCGGCCCACAGAGAACGTACGCGCCCAGCTAGGCACACGAAGACGGCCCCATTGACCCGCGAGACCTGCCGCGTGACACGAGCGAACTCTCGAAACCAGCGTGGATCCATGTCCGTGTACGTCCTTCTTTCGCTCCCAGGGCAGCCTCTGGACCTCTTGGCCTGGCCTCGCTCGGACGGGCGCTCATGCCACATTCATGTGGCAACGCCTCCCCCTCCCCCCAAATGTTCAAGGTTGGCGGTGGGTCCGATGAGCTGCACCTCGGCCGCAGTCTCCCCCGCGCGGGCCAATTTTGAGCCTGGGGGGCAGGGGGGGTGTTTACTAATTGTTTCCCTCTGCCCTCGTTCTCGGGGGAAGGCTGGTCTCAAGTCGGGCGTGGCCCTCTACGGGAGGAACTGCAAAGATAGTCGGAACACGGTCTGGGGACGAACTTTGTGTTGTATCCTCGATTGTGCTTGAGCATGTTTGGAGTCTGTGGTTTTCAGTTTCGCCCAAAACCCGCCAGTAGGAGGACGTGCCCGACCGAGGGCCAGTCAGCTTCCCCCTGTCGCCGCTCTGGCCCCGCAGCCCCGCTGCTGCCGCTGGCCCCCCCTCGGGGTCTGCCCTGGGCGGCCCCGGCTCCCGCCCCTCTCACCCTGCCTCGGCCGTCGCCCCGCCCGTCTTTCCTCCCCCTCGCCCTCTCCTGCACGGTGGCGCAGTTCGCTGAACGTTGCCCCTGTTCGCTCCACTCGCCAGCGCGGTCACTCGGCCTAGCCGCCGGCGCAGAAAGTGTGTGTGTGTGTTCTCGTCGAGGGCCATCGGGGAGCAGATTGGATCATCACACGGAAGAATCAAACGCACGGCATCGGATCATGCACGGCGAGTGGGCATCCGAGCGATGGAGAGTTCGTGAGTTCGTGGTCTGGGCTCCATGCAGAGCTCGGGGGCGGCACAGGGGGGTGATGACTAGGGGGAGGTGGATATCACGGTGGGGAGTATGATATCTCCCCAAATTGTATCCTCTTCTGGTTTCAATGCGTCCCCGCCCCACCCCCCCCGGGCCGCGCACATGCCGCTGGCCATGGTTTGCGCCCCCCTTCTTGGACGCCCCCCCCCTTGGACGCACCCGCAGAGCCCTGCGGGCTCTTTAGCGAAGACGCCCAGAGTGAATTACCGCCGCCCCCCGACTGTTGGAAGGGGCCGAACGGTGTGGCCAAAGCTTGGCCACATTATCGGAGTGCCTGTGTTCCCAGAGCCGTAGTGGAAACAATTGAGGGTAGCATTTGGGAGAGGATGCAGGAGAGCGTCAGGAGAAGGAAGAGGAGGAGGAGGAGGAGGAGGAGGAGGAGGAGGAGGACGACGACAGTGGAGGAAGAGGATGACTCGGAAAATGAAGGAGCGGAGAAGGAGGAGAAGACGGATACGAAATAGTTGATAAGGGGGAGAATGAGGAAAGAACGTCGTTGATAGACGGGAGCGGACACCATTGACGACGTTCGGCACGCGCGACGCCCCACTTCTGCACAACGCAGGAGACTGGTTCCATGACTGACCATTTGAGCAGGCCGAGACTAACACACATCGCACGTTCGCTGCGCCTTTCCCCAGGAACGGGGGGCATACGGGCATCACGAAGTGGGGGGAAGTGGGGGGGATGTAGCAGGGAGAAGGCGGGCCGAGAAATGAGCCAGGCGGGGGGGGTGGAGGAGGCGAGGGAAGGCCTAGCTACGCGAATTTGAACACGACATCCAACGATTTCTACGGCCGCACGCTGTACGCGAAGGAGAGTCTGGTCGGGTCGGGCTCTGCAGTGTTCCCTCGCTCCTCTTGCCGCAGGAAAAAATGGCACCAGACGCGCTGTAACATGCTGCAGTGTGCGATGGCCCGAGGCACAGGGAGATGAGGAAGAGGGGGCATACAAGCGATAGTCCCTCGAGGAAAGGTAATGAGGATGAATTGCACGTGAGGGGGCGACGCAACAGGGAAGCAGCTGCCTGATATCCGCGAAAGCTTCTCATTCATCTGTTTGTTGTGTGTGCGCTGCGCAGTGCGCGCCTCCAGGTCCCTCGATGGTCCTGGATCCATTTCGTGTCTGCCGAGGTGCGGTCTGCTGTGGAGCCGATTATGTTCAATGTGTATGTAGATCGGTTTCTCTACGATCCCAGGCTCCCGCTAACCTGCCATTCCAGAACTCCAGGGAAAGCCAGACCAGGCCAACATCCGTCGCCAGTTCCGTCGAACCTTGACATGGTGACCAGGTATCCGTCGCAGTGCGACGACGATGGTTTCTTCCTCCGCCGAGATGACTCACCCTTGTTTTGGAGCTGGACATGAGGTGGCCGATTCCAGGGTCCATTCCGATACGATCGATCCGATTCGATGTCGATTCCAGCCGGCACGATCCGATTCGATTGCAATTTCCCGCTAATCCGATGCGACCTGACGTTTATATGGAGTTGTTGTGCATCTTGGTGCCACCGATCCGATTCGATTTCGACTCCGTGCCGATGCTGTCCGATTCTGCGCACGTTCCGAGTCGATGCGATTTTCCTATTCGATGATGACCGATCTTGGGTTATTTTGCCCCGAAGCCCTCTGCAGCTCCACTGCAGCCAGTGGGAGCGGAGGGGGACGTGCAGCGGCGTCTTCCAGGGGTCTTTGCCGCAAGGTCCACGTCCACAGCAGGCCCTCGGAGGTCCTCGGGTGCCCGAGGGGCGTTCGGAGGCCCCCTCCTCCGTCCGTTCCCCCTCCCTCCCTTGTGCTCGTCTACGCCTGAAAGACATAGCTGGCAAGACACAGCCGTGGGGAAGCCTCGAGGAGACCTCGCGAGGATTGGGATCTCAGCTCGATGCTGGTTGCCTGCTCTGGGTTTCTTAATAAGCGTGAAGGTACCCCCCCGACGGGGGTCAACCTCGCCTCGTCGTCGCGCCGCGACGGGGGGTCGGAGCGCCTTCGGCGCGCGGTGGCTGCCCGCGACGGGGGTCGACGTGGGGCCGTCGGCGGGGGTGACGCCCCCCCAACGCAGACTGAGAAACTCGGAGCACGCTTCAGCGATGTATTCGGCGGCGCCTGCGTCCCCAACGAGGAGCTGTCCCAGAGGGATGCCCGGAGCGCCCTCCTCCTCCCCATAGCTGCCGGGGAGCCTCGAGGAGACCTCGCGAGGATAGGGATCTCAGCTCGATGCTGGTCACCTGCGCTTCAGCGATGTATTCGGCGGCGCCTGCCTCCCCAACGAGGAGCTGCCCGAGGGGGAGGCCCGGAGCGCCAACCCCGCTCCTCCCCCTTCCCCCCCTCCTCCTCCTCCTCCTCCTCCTCCTCCTCCTCCTCCTCCTCCTCCTCCTCCTCCTCCTCCTCCTCCTCCAGGGGGGCTGCTCCAGGGGCGCCAGCGCGTCGGCGCGCCGCTGCAGTGCTGCCTGCCCGGCCGAGGACCACATGCGGCGCGTCGCCGCCGGCAAGTCCAGTTTCCACCACAACGTGGCGCGCAGTGCCGCTATCTTGTCGTATTCCAGAGCGTGCATTACCTGCCCCGCTTTCGCTTCCAGGCAAAACCAAGTCATACCACGCGCCTCCTCGTCAAGCGGCCTGAACGGTGCGGGCGGTAGTTTGGTGTCGCTTGGTATAGTTTGGAAGCGAGGGTAGTCAAAGGCGAGCGAGGTTCCTTTGCCCCCTAGTCGCTAAGTCGGGCATGCCCCTTCCCTCTACAGGAGGAATCTTCCAAAATAGTCAGCGGGACCACCACTATCGGGTCCATCTCGGCGCGAGGGCTCTCAAGAGAGCGCTCGCACAGACAACGTCTTGGGAAGTGTTTTTTTGGAGTGCCGAAAGACACACTGCTGCAGGGAGTGAGGAGTGGAACAAGGCGATAACCACGAAGGCCACCAGAGCGCATCCCCGAGGGCCCCACCCCCAACAGACTGGACTATCAGCATGCTGTCCCCCACCTACACTTCGAGGGGGAACAGTGGGATACGACTGCAGGATATCAGGCACAGATACGACAACGCGCGGACAACAACTGGCCAGTTCGCTCTGGAAGAGAAGTGAGCCGAGAGAGAGAGAGAGGAGAGAGAGAGAGAGAATAGGATTGCATAAAACCAGTGGGATAATCAGGCCCCCCAGCAGAAGTTTGGAAAGCATGGGCCTCCCGATTATCCCCCCTTCTCTTTTTGAGTGGTCGCGTCGTCGTCTCTTCCCTCCTAGCTTGGGAGCCCTGCTCGCCCAGCGCGCCCCCAATTCCAAGGGCGCGCGGAAGGGCCAGCAGCTGTTCCCCCCGCACTGACCCGCAGGGACTCGCACTCACAAGGCAGCGAGCCTCCCTTAAGGGGCCACCTCGGAGCTCACCCCTTGAAGCTTCGGGGCATGCCCCCTGCCGGCCCGAGTCAGAAGTCAGGGCCGTCGCAAAGCCAAATCGCATGGGATTTTGCCAGACGCGCGCAAGGCACCAGTCTAAGTGTGTTGACGTTGACCCCGTTTATGCGGATGTCCTGTCCTGTCCAGTCCTTCTACTTTTCTGCCCGCTCTCCCTCAGTTTCTACCTCATCTTCCTCCGCTTCCCCATCGTCCTCTTTTATTTTCCTTCCCGATCGTTTTATCTATCGCATTCGGCCCGCGACACTGCCGGGACAATGGCGGGGGAAGCTCAGAACTCTCTTCGGGAGGCCGGAGGACTTCCGAGCCAGAAGGCCGGAGGACTTCCGAGCCTTCTGGGAGGGCCCGCCCCCTCTCACTGCCACCCAGGGCTGGCCACCGACCCGCGGTGCCCTTTGGAGTCGGCCTCTCTTGCCTGTCCAGGGCATGCCCGGGCGAAAGCAGCGGGGGGGGGCCCCAGAGCCGAGCGCGCCGGGCTCCTTTCGGGGAGCCGAGGGCACCGCAAGGCCCCCTCGGAGGCCCTCGAGGAGGGGACGCGGCCTGACATTGGGGCCCCTCCTCCTCCGCCTCCTCCTCCGCCTCCTCCTCCTCCCTCCTCCTCCTCCTCTCCTCCTCCTCCTCCTCCTCCTCCTCCTCCTCCTCCTCCTCCTCCTCCTCCTCCTCCTCCTCCTCCTCCTCCCCCCCCTTCGCGAAACCAGATGTTCATCAAGGTACCCTGGGTTTCGTCGCTCCGCGCGCTGTGCGGTCGCTTCCGCGGCCGTGGAAGAAGCTGCTGCGTTCGGGGTGCTCTGGGTTCCCCCTCGTGTGCATCTCGCGCGCGGGTTGTGAGCGCTGGGCCTGTTGCGAAGATTAGCCTCGGGCGCGCCCGCGCTTTGCAGTTGTGCTTAACATTGCAGAAACGCGTTTGGCGATTTCCCATTTTTTGCTCTTGACTCGACCACGGCGCCTTACAAACGACAGCCTGGAATGTGGACGTCAGGCAGGCGGCATTGCGATACTAGTACCGACTTCAGAGGCGTATTAGAAACGGACTGACAAGCGGGAAGACAACGAGCAGGTGGGCCACGGGCCGATCCCAAATGCGAAAACGAAGCAAAGCAACGCCCCAAATTGAATGAACACGTCGGTCTTCAAAACTGGGAGAATAAAGACGCCCCCAGCTTCTGAGCAAAAGATCATCTAAGCACGGGGCGGGATGCGGTACCGGCCAGACTTCGACTCCGACCTCGGTCTCGCTTCAGTCTGGCACGGGCCGTTCTGCTTTCTCCGGCCTGCAGGGGACGGGCGCGGCCCGCGATCCCGAGCGATGTCAGCTCCCGAGCGACCCCGAGCGATCTCCGCGCCGGTTCTGGCTGCACTCGGATCCGTTTCGGGCCCGATCCAGCTTCGCGGTTCGAGCCAGTTCAGGCCTTGACAGGGACCCCAGACCAGACCAGGAATCGGACAAGATGGCACGAACATAATAAACTGGAGTTCCGCGCGGATTTCTGGGATCCGCGCCGGGACACCCTTTCGGCGCTTCCGGCGCCGCCCCTGGCGCGCTCCGCGCGCCAGGGCGTGGGGGTCCAGCGCGGACCCAAGAAATCCGCGCGCAGCTCCGAAGGTTTCTGTTTGTGCAGTTTTGTTCCTCCAAGGAAGGAGGCCTGGAAATTGGCACCAACACCAAGACTGGGGGTTGCCTCCACAGGGGGAAGATGATCCTAGATTTTCGGCGTCGGTGGTAATAGTTCGGCCACCTTAGAAGCCAGAATATTACCGCCATCACCGAGATCGGGATCTTCTTCCCCCGGTGGAGGCACAACGCCGAAATTGGTGTTGGTGTCAATCCCTAGGCCTGCGACAATGAAGGAACTTCCCCCCAGGGTCGGGCAGGGGTTCTCCGCGAAGAGTCTGCGTACGGCAGGTTTGCGTCGTGTCGACCAGCTGCGACCCCGCCGTCGGCGTTCAACTTTGATTGCCGCCGCCGCCTCAGAATCGGTCGATGTTGAACGATCTGACGTTTTGGAAACGGCCGATCGTTTTTGTTGAACGATTGCAGACGATCTGACGTTTTGAAGACGGCCGATCGTTTTTGCTGAACGATTGCAAACGCTTTGACGTTTTGAGAACGGCCGATCGTTTTTGTTGAACGATTGCAAACGATCTGACGTTTTGAAAACGGCCGATCCTTTTTGTTGAACGATTGCAAACGATCTGACGTTCTGAAAACGATCTGACGTTTTGAAGACGATATGTCGATGTGTTGCCGATCGTTTTTGCTGAACGACGTCGGAGTCGGCACGACACGAACCTGCCGCAGGCGTAAGCACCCGGAGGTCTGGTGCAGCGCCGGCCCAAGAAGCCTGCGCGCGGAGCTCCGAGAGTTGTCCTTCACCACCCTATGACTGACATCTCCTCATCCAGGAGGAGAAAAAACACACAGACACAATGAATCGTCGATCCCCCTGAAGATATCTGAAAATATGGGCAGTGGGGGGGGGAGACAAAAAACCAGAAAGTATGGAAAAATATGGGGAATGTTTCTGTTTGTGTGTGTACTTCTTTGTGTGTCCTGGGGCCCCTTCCCTTATCCCGGTGCCAATCTGAGGGGGTCCCTCAGTTTTTGAAGGCACCTCCTTCAGATTGTCCTCGCCGCGGGCCCTCCGATCTCGTGGACAGGGACCAGCCCGAGGCCGGTTGCGTCTGCCGAATTATGCGGTGCGTTCGGCTCCTGCGTCGCCCCAACGAGGAGCTGCCCTAGACTCAGGAGGGAAAAAAACACACAGACACAATTAATCCTCGATTCCCAGGAAAATATGGGAAAATATGGGAATTGGGGGGGAAGACAAAAACCCAGAAAATATGAGAAAATATGAGGACTATTTTTATGTGTGTGTATTTATTTGTGTGTCCTAATTTCCCTTTATAGACAGAGACCCGAAGCGCCCCCTCCTCCCCTCGGCGACGTGCCCAGGGAGGGAGAAGCGCGAGGGGGAGAAGGCCCGCTCCCGGGGCGGCGGGGCTGCGCTCCGAGGCCCGCCGGCCCTCCGAGGAGCGCTCGGCGCCTCCTCCGAAGACGCCCCCAGAGATCCGACGCTCCTCCTCCTCCTCCTCCTCCCCCTCTCCCTCCCCCTCCTCCTCCTCCTCCTCCTCCTCCTCCTCCTCCTCCTCCTCCTCCTCCTCCTCCTCCTCCTCCTCGCAGGCCGCTCGCGCGGCACGCCGCTCGGAGAGGAGGGCGCCTTTGCCGACCTGCTCCGACGCAAGACGCCCTTCGAAGAGACACGCTCCCTGCACGAGTCCTTCCCTCCTCCCCCTGCGCCCCTCCTGCGCGCCGCGAAAGGATCCCCTGTTCCTGCACCTTCGTCCCCCCCCCCCCGAGATCAGGCGATCGCACACATGGATCAAGGGGGCGTGGACTAGCGACGCGTCCCGCATCCGTGGGGAATCGCGGATCTCCGCCGCCGAACGAGGCGGCACGGGCCCCATTCTGGGGAGGGCGCTTCCCCCGATGCATGGATTTGGCGACTGCGCGCCAAATCCATGGATCAGATTGGAGCGGCCGGATGTGTCTGGGTCAGAAGAGCTTCGGTGATTTGTAGGACGTGTGTTAGCCCATTGTGTGTTTATCCCGTTCAACCCAACCAGTCAATCATCACATCGCCTGCGTTGCAGTGGAGAGCCTCAGTGGGCAAACGCACGTTGGCGCTAACACACGTGCTGAGGGCTTCTGAGAGGCCCCGCCGCGTCACACCCCCGTCGGGCGCGCCGCCAGTCCCTGCGGCTTTGGGTCGGCATCTCTCTTCCTCGGCGCAGGTCGGCGAACAGATGCGGCACGGTCTTTCACGCCGCTGGTCGGGCGTTGCGCAGTGGTGGGCGACAAGTGCGGGTGGGAAGACTTGTGCACCTCTTGTGCCCTGAAGGGCCACCTGGGGCCCAAAAAGGGGCACGAAAGGTGCACTCTTATTCCAGAGGATGGCACTGCATCCTCGATGCATCGCCAATGCGGCGCGATGCGGAGCCTGCTTTGCTCGGCGCTGGCGTTGCCGTTGCACCGCCGAGGTCGCCGATGCATCGCTGATGCATCGGCGATGCGTCGCTGATGCATCGGCGATGCAAGGCTCATGCATCGGCAATGCATCGGCAATGCACCGTCGATGCGGCACGACCGTCCATTTATCGAGGAAATGTAAGACTCGTGTACGCCAGAACTCGGGTTTGCCGACGCTTTTTGACGAGTGCGTCTTGGATTCTGACGGTCCAGTTTTCGTGGGATGTTTGCAGCGGGAGCTCGCGTCAAATTTCAGACTGGATCTCGTCATTTTCGTGATGGCCCCGTCAGGCCAAACCGATCCCCCCGCACCCGAGTCTTACGTCTCCCCGAATTTGCCGCCCTCCCATAATGAATAGGGGAACGAAAAGTGGCAGAAACAGAAAGACTCGGAGGTCCGCGCTGATTTCTTGGATCGGCGCTTGGGCCCCCTGGCGGCGCCTCTGGCGCCGCCCCTGGCGGTGTCGAGCGCCGATCCGAGAAAATCCGCGCGGACGTCCGAGTTTCATGTTTCTGCCATTGTTTGTTCCCCCGACTGACGTCTCCCCGAATTGATCGCCCCCCCAGGGAGCAACGCCCCAGCTGGGCGCACCTGGCCCTCCCAGCACGCGGCCCTCTGGGCGGCGTCCTGGAGCTGCCCCCCCCCCCCCGCGAGAGGCCAAGCCCCCGGGCCTCGTGCACGCCAACGTCACGACGGGGCCCGCCCTTCCCTTGGGCAGTGCCAAAAGGGGGTGGTCACGACGACCCATCGCTCGTTGAAAACATGCACTCTTGCAGAAGGCTCGCAAGCATGGGTTAAGGTCGGAGCTGGCTGGGAGTCTGAGGTGGCCCAGTACTTGTTCCAGCCAGCAGCAAGGGGGGGCGCGAAGGTTCGACGTTCTGGGTTCGAGAACCGTTCTTTTTTTAGCTCTTCCGATTTCGAGAGCTGATTTCGGGGCCCAGGACTGTCAAAAACGGGTCCGGGGTGAAAAGCTGCACCAGATGGACCTTGGGAGGGGTCTGGGGACCGATTGTGAACGTGTTTGCCCTTACCCCCCCTTCTTGACCTATTCTCTTGGGACCCATCCAGTTCAGATCCCCTGGCCGCCTCCAAAAATGGGTTTCACGACTACCCACGTTGAAAGAATGCACTTTTGTAGAGGAATCGCAAACATGGAAGAAGGCGCGTGGATTGGGGACAGGCCCCGCTTCCACACAAAATCGGCGCGCTAGGGGGGGGGAACACTATCCCCGATCGTTGGATCTGGTGCCCACGCGCCAGATCCATGGATCCCTAATCCATGCTAGCGTGTGCCCGATTTGGGGAGTGCCAGACTCCAGTATGATTTCAGGCGCCTTCCCATGGCTGCCGTCGAGCTGCTGTCCGGTGCCCTTCCTCTTCGGAGGACTGCGGGGAACTCGATATATTTCATCATGCTTCCGTTCACTTTCTCCGAGCGATGGGTTAGGGGGAAGGGTCACCAGCTCCTCGTGGAAATCCAGAGCCGAGGAGGCTTACGACGTGGAACGGCCGTTGCTTGGAGGCCCGGGAAGCGATCTCTGCGGGGTCTTTTCCTGGAGGAGGTGGCGGCCCTCTTGATGGCGAATCCCCTCGGCGTGTGTGTGTGTGCGTGTGGGTGTGCGTGTGTGCGTGTGTGTGTGTTGTGTGTTATGTGTTGTGTGTGTGTGTGTTTGAGTGCGTGTGTGTGTGCGTGTGTCTGTGTGTGTCTGTGTTTCTGTGTGTGCCTGTGTGTGTTTGTGTGTGCCTGTGTGTGTTTGTGTGTGTGTGTCTGCGTGGTTGTGTGTTTGTGTGCTTGTTTTTTTTTGTGTGTTTGTGTCTGTATTGTGTGCTTATTGTTTGTGTGTCTGTGTGTCCGTGTGTGTCCGTGTGTGTCCGTGTGTTAATGTGTTTGTGTGCTCGTGGGTTCGTATGTTCGTGTGTTCGTGGATTCGTGTGTTTGTGTGTTTGTGTGGTTGTGTGTTTGTGTGTATGTGTGTCTGTGTGTCTGTGTGCGTGTGTCTGTGTGTCTGTGTGTGTGTTTGTCTGTGGGGTTGTGTATTTGTGTGTTGTTTTGTGTGTTTGTTGTTTTCCCAACCCTTCTGCGTTGGGTTCTCGTTTTGAATAGAGCAGCTGCGGTCGCGACTCCTCTCCTCTCCTCTCCCGCCCCCTCCTCATTTCCTCTTCCCCCCTGCTTCCTACCTCGCTCGCTCCTGCGTGCCAGTTTGTCTCCTACCTCACCATCCCTGGGGGGCTGCGATCTGCGAAACTGTCACCACTTTCGAGGGCTGTTGGGGGGGCCCAGCGGAGTGGGGTCATACGCAGATTCAGATTAGACCTCGCCATCCCTGGGGGGCTGCGATCTGCGAAACTGTCGCCACTTGCGAGGGCTGCTGGGAAGCCCAGCGGAGTGGGGCCATACGCATATTCAGATTAGACCTCGCCATCCCTGGGGGGCTGCGATCTGCGAAACCGTCACCACTTTCGAGGGCTGCTGGGGGGCCCAGCGGAGTGGGGTCATACGCAGATTCAGATAAGACCTCGCCATCCCTGGGGGGCTGCGATCTGCGAAACCGTCGCCACTTGCGAGGGCTGCTGGGAAGCCCAGCGGAGTGGGGCCATACGCATATTCAGATTAGACCTCGCCATCCCTGGGGGGCTGCGATCTGCGAAACCGTCACCACTTTCGAGGGCTGCTGGGGGGCCCAGCGGAGTGGCGTCATACGCAGATGCAGATTAGACCTCGCCATCCCTGTGGGGCTGCGATCTGCGAAACCGTCGCCACTTTCGAGGGCTGCTGGGGGGGGGCCAGCAGAGTGGGGTCATACGCAGGTTCAGATTCGACCTCGCCATCCCTGGGGGGCTGCGATCTGCGAAACTGTGACCACTTTCGAGGGCTGCTGGGGGGCCCAGCGGAGTGGGGTCATACGCAGATTCAGATTAGACCTCGCCATCCCTGGGGGGCTGATCTGCGAAACCGTCGCCACTTTCGAGGGTTGCCCGAGGGCCCAGCAGAGTGGGGTCATACGCAGGTTCAGATTCGACCTCGCCATCCCTTGGGGGCTGCGATCTGCGAAACCGTCACCACTTTCGAGGGCTGCTGGGGGGCCCAGCGGAGTGGGGTCATACGCAGATTCAGATAAGACCTCGCCATCCCTGGGGGGCTGCGATCTGCGAAACCGTCGCCACTTGCGAGGGCTGCTGGGAAGCCCAGCGGAGTGGGGCCATACGCATATTCAGATTAGACCTCGCCATCCCTGGGGGGCTGCGATCTGCGAAACCGTCACCACTTTCGAGGGCTGCTGGGGGGCCCAGCGGAGTGGCGTCATACGCATATTCAGATTAGACCTCGCCATCCCTGGGGGGCTGCGATCTGCGAAACCGTCGCCACTTTCGAGGGTTGCTGGGGGGCCCAGCGGAGTGGGGCCATACGCATATTCAGATTAGACCTCGCCAGCCCTGTGGGGCTGCGATCTGCGAAACCGTCGCCATTTCCGAGGGCTGCTGGGGGGCCCAGCAGAGTGGGGTCATACGCAGGTTCAGTTCGACCTCGCCATCCTTGGGGGGGGCGCGATCTGCGAAACGGTCACCACTTTCGAGGGCTGCTGGGGGGGGCAGCGGAGTGGGGTCATGCGTAGATCCAGATTCGACCTCGCCATCCTTGGGGGGCTGCGATCTGCGAAACGGTCACCACTTTCGAGGGGTGCTGGGGGGGGAGCGGAGTGGCGTCATAGGCAGATCCAGATGCGACCTCGCCATCCTTGGGGGGCTGCGATCTGCGAAACCGTCGCCACTTTCGAGGGCTGCTGGGGGGCCCAGCGGAGTGACGTCATACGCAGATTCAGATCACCCCCCATTACATCCTTCTCTTGCCCCTCGTTCCTGTCCCCGTTATTATTCGAGCTTGGGGCCTCAATCCTCGTTCTTTCGATCGTCGTCCTGTGAGTCGTGCAACGCATGCGCATCCCATGTAGTTTGCGCAGCAATTCACCGCGTCTATACTGCAGTTGTTCCTGCGAATGTTGGCCTACCCCTCTTGCCACTTGATGCAAATGTGGGTTGGGTACGTCGCAGGGTGATGTGTGTCTGTGTGTTTGTGTGGGGGGGGGGTATGTGTGTTTGTGTGGTTGCTGTGTTGTGTGTCGGTTGTGTGGTTGCGTGAATTTGTGTGTGTGTGCGTTTGTGTGTTTGCGTGTCCGTGTGTCCGTGTGTTAGTGTGTGTGTGTGTTCGTGTGTTTGTGTGCTTGTGTGTGCTTGTGTGTGCTTGTGTGTTTGCGTGTGCGTTTGTGTTTGCGTGTGCTTGTGTGTGTGCGCGTGCGTGCGTGCGTGCGTGTGTGTGCGTGCGTGTGTGTGTGTGTGTGTGCGCGTGTACGCGTGTGTGTGTGCGCGCGTGTGTGTGTGTGCGTGTGCGTGTGCGTGCGCGTGCGTGCGTGCGTGCGTGCGCGTGTGTGTGTGTGGGCGGTGTGTGTGGGCGGTGTGTGTGCGTGTGTTTGTGTGCACGTGCGTGTGCCGCCCTGTCGTTGCGCGCAGGGCCACGATAGCAATGTGTGTGTGTGGCTGTGCGTGTGTCTGGTTATGTGTGGATGTGCCTGTGTGTGTGTGTGTCTGGGTGTGTCCGTGTGTGTTTGTGTGTGTGTCAGTGTGTGCGTGGTTGTGTCTATCATTGAGTTCGCTTGTGTGTTTCGGTATATGAGTCGGTGTGTGTCGGTGTGTGTGTGTGTCCCTGTGTGTCCGTGTGTATGTGTGTGTGTGTCTGTGTAGGCGTCTGTTTGTATGTCCGTGTCTGTGTGTATCGTGTGTGTCTGCGTGTGTGAATGTGCGCGTCTGGCTGTGTCTGTGTGTGTGCTTGCGTGTGTGTCTGTGTGTGTGTCTGTGTGTATGGCTGTGCGTGTGCCGATGTATGTGTGTGTGTGTGTCTGGCTGTGTGTGTCCGTGTGTGTGCGTATGTCTCCGTGTCTCTGTGTGTGTCTGTGTGTGAGTGTGTGTGTTTTTCTCTCTCTCTCTCTCTCTCTCTCTCTCTCTCTCTCTCTCTCTGCGTGTCATTATGTGTCTTGGTGCCTCTGTCTGTCTGTCTGTCGCTGTCTCTGTGTGTCTCTGCGCGTCAATGTGTGTCTCTGTATGCCTCTGTGTTTCCTCTGACTGTCGCGACATGTCTCTGTCTGTCTCTGTGTGTCGTTGTGTGTCGCGTTATGTCTCTGCCTGTCCCTGTGTGCCTCTGTGCGGCTATGGTTGTGTCGTTCTGTCTCTGTGCGTCTCTCGGTGTCTCTGTTTGTCTGTCTGGTGTGTGGGTGTGCTGGTGTGTGGGTGGGTGTGCGGGTGTGTGGGTGTGTGCGGGTGTGTGTGTGTGTGTGTTCGTGTGTGCGGGTGTTTCTGTGGGTGTGTGTTCGTGTGTGC